TCTGACCTTGACCTCATTGTCTTGGATCCAGTTCAGTTTATGTGATAGTTGTAGTAATTAAAGCTTAACAACATAAAATCAATGGTAAGTAAGAAAGGCAAGATATTTCAGCGTGTGCAATCTTGTTTAATATAAGGTCTAGGAGGAAAACTTTCTATTCTTCTTGTAGACTGAAGTAAGTGAATTGATACAAGAGGAAATGGGCAGGCAGGCAAAAATTTCCGAAATAAAGAAAGCTTTATCTTTTGTAAAAAGAAAGTATTCAACTGAATACAGGCCAGCCATTTATAGAACGGTAAATGTAGTTTGAATAAAGCTAGGTTATGTTACTGTCATACAATTCAATAAAAAAAACAGATTTTTTTTTTATACCTATCTACTAACAATATGAAATTGTGAATGGAGATGTGCATTGTGTCAAAGAGACAACACACCGACAACAGAACAGAAAACTGCCCAAGGCCATCGACGGGCTTTCAACACAGCGAGTAAACCCCACACACAGAGGCTGTCTTCAGCTGGCCCCTAACCAATAATGAGTACTAGCTCAGTGAAAATAGACATCGCACTAAACTCCAAAACATATAAATGAACTAAAATAAATAAAAACCAAACCACAAAACCAAATAATGTATATTTTGAATAATATCCAAATCAACTGCAACTAAATTTAATTATCACTTAACAATGAAGGCTGAAATTAAGCTAAGATTAAGCAAAGCATGAAGTTCACAGTCAGCAAGTTCACATTAAGTTCAAGAAAATGCCATTCACCTGCATCTACTCGAACTTAAGAAAAAGAAAAAAAACGTAGAAGTTCATTTGACTGCTAAGTGCTAAATCTGTTATGTATTCACTAGTTACATTTGCTTCCACACTGCATGCTGTCACATGATCAATTTAAAATTTCGTATTGTAGCTCAGAGCAACTATGGAACAAACTAAAGAGAAGCAACTACGGAGTTTGTTCGGAAACTACACCGACGCATCAACAGCAGACAAAGAAGTTGTTGATTACAGAAAACAAATGGTGTTGATAATGGTAAATAAGAAGAATTTTCATTAAAAAAAACCACCACATCCAGTAACAAATTCAATCACATATAAAATTTACGCCACATTCTATATGTATGTGCCTGTCCCAAGTCAGTCGTTTTGTGCTGTGTTACATATTTTCTTTTCGTTATTTTTTGTATATTAATTAGGCCGTTAGTTTTCTCGTTTGAATTGTTTTATATTTGTCATTTCGGGGCCTTTTTAAGCTGACTATGTGGTATGGGCTTTGCTCATTGTTGGAGGCCGTACGGTGACCTATTGTGGTTGATTTCTGTGTGATTTGATCACCAGCAAAGAGTTGTCTGATTGGCATTCATACAAAATATTCTTGTAATATATTGACAAAAAAAATGACTTTTCTATTATGAATATTTCTGTTACTTAAGAAAGACACGATACTTAAATTTACACTAAATACCAATTGATTGATTGATGGTTTGCTTAATGTCAAGTTGCAAATATTTCAGGCATATTCCGGACAAGACCAAATACTTTTAGGTACTGTAATTGTTTTGAAAATTAAGAGTTTTACCGGAAAATGAAGATAAAGTTGATTAATCATTTTGAGATGGGAATGTTCTTTAAGTCTGACCTTACGATATGTCATTTTCACGTTGTGTTTGATATGCCTGTTTATGCCGCCATTTTTTGGATTTCATTGAACGCAGTCTTGAAATGATATATTTGATAACAATACTATTCAAACATTTGCAAAATTCTTTTACATTTTATTAATTTATTACTAAAATATTATGCCGGGAAATTCCTTTGTTTTTAGTGGGAATTAAATCAATTTTTGTATTCATTTATTTTATAGAGATTTCTTCATAGAGAAAATCCGCCAAAGGGAACCTTTTGGAGAAAGGTGGAAGGTCTACATACTGAAATTGAGGGAAAGGAAAAAGAAACACGCCTTTTCCCTCTACCAAGGACTCTTAAGGAGGGAGGAAAGAGAACAATAAAAAACTTGAAACTCATTGTTGTTGGACTATTTGGATTAATGTTTTCTTAAGATATTTAATCATGTTCGTACTCAAATGTGGACAGTTTTTAGGACCTTGCATAGTCTTGATGCATATATACTGTACAATAACATCTGGTTAACACATCAAATGGGTGAAATCTCTTCGTTCTTACTGTGCTATAATCTGGATAATGCACAGCAAACGTGTGCAACTTTAACTACCTCAAACAGGGCGAGGGATAATAAGCTGCAGATCAATTGTTTAGATGCGAATTGTCTTAAAAATTAATACAGTAGAAAAAAATTGAAGGGGGAACGGGGGAAGTCAAAGATTGAAAAGTGAAACATTTTTTTTTCTGTTTACTTAATATTTCAAATATTGGTAAATTTCTCCTCGGTTCACTTCCTCTAAGCATATTATTGAGGGAAAGAAAGTAAATTAATATACTCAATAACCCTTTCAGTTATGATTTTTCATACATCGATTTAAAAGTACACAAAACGGAACTAAAACTGTAGGAGATGTAGGTTGTACGTCAATAAGTCAGCAAGCAAATGACAAAAAAAACCAAACTAATGACTACCAGAGGACAACGTATAGTATTGTTTTCAACAACAGATAGGCGTCCTACATTGTTCGGGTTATTTAGGGTCACCCGAGCCGTGCAGATTAAATGATGTATACAGACTTGCTTGGTTAATAACTATAATATGTAATTAACTTGAATATCCTTGTTAAAAATTGATGTGCATGTGCAATAACCTAGCTAACATTTCTTTTTATTCAAATTAGTATAAACGAATGATGCCTTAATACCCTAAAATTATTCAGCTCTTCATTCAAAATTGTCCTTCAACATTAAAACAACACAAATAAAAAGATAAGAAAACCATAAAGTCGGTTTACAATTTGTTCTCGTTGAATACAAAATACTAATGTTGAGTATTTCAAGACATTTCTTAAAAAAAAAGATTTTTTGTAAAAAATTAATCAATTGTCAGATACCTGAAATACAATTTAATCACGAACATTTTAATTTTTTTGTCAAGTTCTCCCTGCGTGCTTAATTTCATAACCAAAAAATCATGAAAACTTCATCCGTATTGATATGGAGTCAACATGGGTATCGTCTCCACAAAATTCTCCATGGAAATACCCTGCAAATATTAGACATTACAATGTCAAAGGACAATGTCTGCTAGTGTCACTTTAAATGAGGTATCCCAAAAAATTGGTTAAACTGGGCCAAGAGATATTGATAGGTGTGTACTTTCTTAAAAGTACCTTTGCAAAATATAACCATACAAAATAGTCAATGTACCAGAAAAAAAACTTTGTATCTAGTAAGGAAATATGTGAACTTTACATTTAAGACTGGATTTGCAGTTTAAGTAGTTCAAACAAGTAAACTGTCTTATCATTATAACCACTGTTTGACGTTTAAACAGTAACAGTTCTGATATGGACTACTTTATAATCTATAGTTTAATGTGGTAATAAAAAACAAGGACATGTGGTAGGATTGCAATCTTTCAACCAAAGAACAGGAGTAACCAGTAATCATAATGTAATTTACATTTGAGGTCAGCAAAAGTGTAAGTCCGCCACATTTATATGAGTCTGTCCAAAGTCAAAAAAGGACATAGTGCCATTGGTATGTAATTGTGTAGTTTAGCATTTACTTTACTGAGTGAAATTTTGTGTTGCACGTCAGAATAGTATTACCATTTTAATTTTTGTTGAAGCAAGTCGCAGCTTATTGCATGGCATGGACTACCTACTGTTAAAGACTGTGGCATTGTGACTTATAAATGACATTGCTGAAAATCTGCTTTTCATACACATTAACAATGAGGATATAATATTGCATGGAAACTCAAATCTCTGTTAGTGTAACACTCCTTACCTTTAGGAGACACATCTGTTCTAGCTGAAGTGTCTATTTGAATATTCAACTTTAACATTAAAGCAGCAGCCAAAAATGAAACAAGATATAAACAAGGTTAATAAGATATATAAACAAAATGCAGCGTAAGCATGTGGTTCATCGAAAAAACTTTCAAGGCAAAATGGAAAGTTAAATGAAAGAATACTTAACAAAAATCATCTTACAATAGTATAGTTCTTAGATGACTTTTTGATTAGGTATAAAATATGAATACTATTTCATTACTGAAAGTTGATTGAAATGTTCAGAACTGAAAAACTACTAAACTTTACAGTACTGAAAAATGACTGAAATATTCAGTACTGAAAAATGACTGAAATATTCAGTACTGAAAAATGACTGAAATTTACAGTACTGAAAAATGACTGAAATTTACAGTACTGAAAAATGACTGAAATATTCAGTACTGAAAAATGACTGAAATTTACAGTACTGAAAAATGACTGAAATTTACAGTACTGAAAAATGACTGAAATTTTCAGTACTGAAAAATGACTGAAATATTCAGTACTGAAAAATTACTGAAATTTTCAGTACTGGAAAGTGACCGAAATTTTCAGTACCGAAAACAATTTTTCTCAACATTACTAAAAATGATATATAAATAAATGTACTGATTAGTGATGTTTCTTAAAAGTACTGTTTATATATCGGCATTTAATGTACTGATTAGTGATGTTTTTTAAAAGTACTGTTCATATAGCGGCATTAAATGTACTGTTTATATAGTGGTATTTAATGTACTGATTAGTGGTGTTTCCTAAAAGTACTATTTATATAGCGGCATTTAATGTACATGTAAACGTTAGGCAAATTGTTGGTAGTGTACATCCCTACATTAGACATTAAGTACAGATCGTAGAGTACTAGCAGTTACTGACAGCTAGTTTATTTTTAAATTTATATTATATGTCCATTTACTCCGTATGTGTTCTCTTTTAAAGTTTTAGATATATTATAAATAGAAAGCAGTATATCCTTAGAAAATTTACAAACTTTCAGTAAATAAGCCATCTTTGTAGATGAATCACCTCTCAGATGAGGTACGTAAGCCAGTATGATCAAGAGGCTGTACCCTGTCACATTCTGTGATGGTCCCAAGCATGGTCAACATATGAATCAAATCAGATTCACTAAGTTTTGATTTGGTCAGTATAACATCAAGGAAAATTTCAAAAGCTGCCGATGATGAATCTTGGTGTAGTTCGTAGCACTTATCTTCACTGCACTGCATGAACTGTAAGGGAAAAAGGGGTGTTTAACAAATGTCAAATCAACGTAATAATTTTAGAAGTCACAACTGATACATTTGTTTCATTATAGCAGATATGATTTTAACAACTGGTAAAAAAGAGCAGAAATAGCTATACTGAATTCAAATTACTACAAAAAATAAAGTAGTAAAAATAGAACTCAGATTAAAAAAGTAACAATATCAATGACTATGATTTGGCTTTAAAATGAAAAATGCATGTCTATTATACTTATCATGCTTATCTAAAGACTCCAGCTACTCATTTTATCTGACATCCTTAGGAATGTTCTATGATTAATGGTGCTATGTGATGTGTGGCCAAAAATTAGGTTCCAACACTTGGCACACAACCAAATCAATGAAAACAATTAATTGTAAGCAAATTAATGATAGAAAACAAACTGAGTTTTTAGCAAAAATATAAGTGAATTATAATTCAATGGGAAAAAGATTTATAAAACCAAAAACATTTCAAATAAACCACAGCCTTAGGCCTCTTTAAGTATAATATTATTAATAAATCCTTGAATCCACCTCATTAACATGATTAAGTTTCATAAGTTGCATTACATGTTCTGTGGGCTATCTTATAAGTAAAAGAGTGTTTCATTGTACTGGTTTTAGCCAAACTACTGAATTCTAAAGTCTGTTAGTTTCATAGGTGTATTCAAAATAAAACTTGACCTCTGGGCAAAGCATGCTACTACTGATATAACAGGGCATATGCACCAAATTTAAAGGAGATAACAGCAATCAAATATTTTCATCTAGTGTTAAATACTTATGAATTACATGTATCAACTGATTGCTAATGAAACTACAGTTCCAATCATCTATCAAACCTTCTTTATTTGTTAATCCATTCAATTATTGCGAACCCAATGAAAGTTTTCCACAGTGCCATCTCTATCTTGACCAGGTATTTAAACTTTTGCAAGTTCATCTGTCCTATTGAATAAATACAATAGCTATTGTTCTCTGTGTAGTTTATTCTCTGGGACCTTTAAATTTCTTCTAAGAGAAATCTATCACTCATTGATTAATTTACCTGAGTAAAAAAATTTTCTTATATATAGACAAAAATACTTTTTTTATACTCATTAACTGTGTGTGATGATGTATTTATCTAATATTAATAATATGTTTTCATTCGGTTTAATGTAAATATTGATTCAATCATAGAAAGTTGATTTCAAACAAAAGTTTTATCAATGTTCCTATTGAAATTTGATTTTTTTTTGTCCAGTTATAGAATACATTTAAGAAGATCTTAATTTGAACATCACAATTTTCAAGTTTTTATTCATGTCAAACAAATTTTTTTTAAAAGGAACAATGTTGAAAGTTTTGTCAGAAATCAATTTTTTATGATTGAATCAATTTTTATATTAAACTGAATGAAAATATATTATTAATATATTATTAATATAACATAAATCAACGCTAACATGTTTAACCCCGCCACATTCTGTATGTATGTGCCTGTCCCAAGTCAGGAGCCTGTAATTCAGTGGTTGTCGTTTGTTTATGTGTTACATATTTGTTTTTCGTTCATTTTTTGTACATAAATTAGGCCGTTAGTTTTCTCGTTTGAATTGTTTTACATTGTCATTTCGGGGCCTTTTATAGCTGACTGTGCGGTATGGGCTTTGCTCATTGTTGAAGGCCGTACAGTGACCTATAGTTGTTAATTTCTGTGTCATTTGGTCTCTTGTGGAGAGTTGTCTTATTGGCAATCATACCACATCTTCTTTTTTATATTTTATTAATGTTTCAACTTTGCATCACTGTTTACATTCAACCGATTGAAAATATATTATCAATATTGCATAAATATAACATCACATGCAGTTTTGAGTATAAAACTTGGATGGAGAGTTGTCTCAAAGTCATTGGCACTCATACCACATCTTCCTATATCTATTTTCCTCTATTTACAAGATTTTTTTTTTACTCAGGTAAATTAATCAATGAGTGAAAGATTTCTCTTAGAAGAAATTTAAAGGTCCCAGTGAAAAAACTACATGGAGAACAATAGCTGTTGTATTCATTCAATAGGACAGGTGAACTTACAAAAGTTTAAATACCTGGTCAAGATAGAGATGGCACTGTGGAAAACTTTCATTGGGTTCGCAATAATGTTTACACAATTCATTATAACCACAAACTAAAATTTCCTTTCATAAAATTCGCAGTCTGTGTAATTAATTTGTTAATGTGTTTTACATATGTCACTGAAGGTTATAAATATTCAAGTATGAATAGCAATTTTCATTTGACAAAGCAAATATAGAAAATCTTTATTAACACTTTTACTTTTAGTGAGTCATAAAATCTTTTTATAATTGAACTATGAATGAAACACACATAATTTTGTTTTCTTGAAATACAAACCCTTTCAAGCACGGTTACTGGGAGATAGCTTTCAATCTTAGACAGGAAATTTTCTGTGAGTCTTTTGAGTGCAGCATGGAATTCTGGTCCATATTCCTCATGAAATTCCTCTACAAAATAGGCAGTACGGAGTTTCTCTTCTGCTGCTAATGGCAAGTAAAACTTTCTGAAGTTACTGTATACAGATGACAGACGTTTTAATTCCTTTTTATCCTGTAATATACCAACAACAATATTAGTCAGACATGATACTGATATTATCAAAATTCTCATTTCACCATATAATTATCCACAGTTTTATCAGTTACCATAGAATTTATAATTAATTCTATATTATTTTTCATACTATATTAAAAAAATATCATCAATTCAATGAAATACTTTTTTATAATAATACACTGAATAATCTTTATATTCTTATTTGGTTTAAATTCAGTAAGTAAGGAAAGTTTTTATCTAAACCCAAAATAATGTGATTAAAGAATGAAGAAGTTTCATATGTCTATTTTTAAGTATCTTATCCTGTGAAAAATTGGGTATCTCATTAACTTTTAAAGGCATATTGTACAATAGTAGTGGGTAGGTAACAGCATTGCATAGATTAACATTTTATGTTGCCCTTCAGATGCCTAAAAAAAATCTGGATAAAATTAAATGTACCAATTGACCAAATCTGCTGAAATTTGAACACAATGTCATGGATCATAAACTACAGGTGGAGTCTGATTTTGATGATTAAGACATTTATCGGTCAAGTGTTTCTTTTAAAATTTTCAGGAAAAAAAATCAATGATGGATCTTAATTGTATTAAATTTCCTTAAGGCAGGATATTAACTGACAGGGATGGGAGAAATGCTTTCGAAAAAACAGAGTAAGTAAAAGGCTATCCATAATTCTTATACCCTACAGAAACCTCAAGACGGCTACCTGTCTACATCTTGTCATGTTTTAGACTGAGAGTAAATTATTTATATAAAAAAAACAGAATTATGCAAACCTGCTCATACAGATGCCATTCTCGACTATTCTAATTTTTTACCACAAAATTGTTTGATGCATCCTAAAATGTTATAAGAGTATACTCACAGCACCTGGGTAGTCTGCCCCTGACCTCGGAAAATATTCATTTAGTTTAACAAGAACACCCTCTTTGTTAAGTTCCAACATTTTCAGTAGTACCTGCAACAAAATTGAAGTGTCAAAGTAAACTTGTATTAAATAACCTGTGTTACAACATTCAACTTTGACCTAGTTCTAATTACCATAAACATTTGGCTATTTGATTCGAAAATACACTTTCATTTCTCTATCAATACACACAATGAAAAACCTTTTACTAACCAAAGAAAATTTACTTTTTTATCATCTCTCAAAAATGGTGTCTTCAGTCAGGCCCTTAGCTAGGATACCTCTTAAAAGGGATGGAAATTTTATTTGAAAATACACTTTCATTTCTCTATCAATACACACAATGAAAAACCTTTTTTAAACCAAAGATTTACTTTTTTATCATCTCTCAAAAATGGTGTCCTCAGTCAGGCCCTTAGCCAGGATACCTCTTAAAAGGGGGTGGAAAAAAGGGGGGATTTGGGGTCATGACTGTCAAACTTCTATCTGTCTCTTAAATAGGCATTCATAATTTTTTTGCTTTTAGGGAGTTTGGACCAAACTGTTACGCCCCTGTCTAGGAGTGTGTACCTCTATAAAAGCAGATTTTGAACAACACATACCTACATACAGGATTGAGTTACTCAAAATAGTTTCCGTCTTACGGTCTACATTTTGTTGAAAATAACATGATAAGTTGGTCAAATTGCATTATAAATTGAAGGTTACTGACAAATGAAGAATGATGACTTTCCCATTAAAATACATTTCAGATGGCCCACTGCACTATTATCATCAATGACCTCAGAAAGTCTGCACCACATGTGCACAGTTTTTAGGCATAATCATCACAGATGCAGTTGATTTTTTTTTATAATTATTTTATTTATTATCAACTGTGTAATGTACATAATTTTTCAATAACCAAGGTCAATGTTCACTTAATTAAACAAATTTTGTCTGATCTTTTATTTTAATAACTATTTAATTCCAATACTAACAGAGTTGCATTATTTAAATTACAGCAATGATCCCTGACCTACAGTAGACCACAAAAATCAAATCTGTTCTTCATAAAGGATATATGAATACAGAATACAACTTTAATAGTTTCTAATTTGATCACAACTATTTTAGACTCAAGGGAATTAAAGCTTGGCATCTTATTTTCCTTCGTCTTTCTTGACCAGCTCAGCCATTTAGAAATTTTCATCTCACTTCTTTGAGATTTGAGCAGAACTTATCAGTAATGTCAAACTGTGTGTGAGATCATCCCAGACATCACAAAGTGTGAGGGGGGATTATCAAGCTTACTTTCCTCAAGGGTCAAACTGTCAAATGAAGGGGGAAAGACCAGAAATACCATGAGAAACAGATTATTGGGTTTTCTGCGTAAAGATATCATTTAGATGCTGCCTAATTGACATAAACCACATCTTCTTTTATTCCTAATTATAACCCTAGTCTACTTTTCTTATCAAACTTTCATGATTTCAAAAAAATCCAACTCTGTGGATACTTATATATAAGCTGCATTGGATAAAAATCGCCCTTATGTGTATTGTTTATCTGGTTGTCTGTACCGTATATAGATATTGTAAAATATCAGCTGCGAGTCACAATATGAAGCTTATTGTTGATTGAGCCAAGGGAATGAGTTCAAAAAGGTTTCATATTGTGTTGAGCAGCTGATATTTTACAATATAAATATGATGACAATCTGATAATCAATTTATCAGATTCTATTTATGTGTATTTTGCATGATAGAAACAAGAGCTTTTCTTTGTTCCACCAGCAAACTGGAACAAGACTTGATAAATCTGGGTCAAACTTATCAATGTTGGTTCATTTTTATTAAGGCCGGGTTGACATATATGATGTCACAAAGCCATGATATGCAGTTTCATGGAGAGCTGGAAGAACAATACAGACCGTGGGAACACGGATAAAAAGGAATATCAATACATCTGTTAACTTATTTTGGGTTGAAAAATTTCTATTCAAAGTCTGTAACTGAACTCTTTAAAAATTGAGTTGATATAAAAACCTCACAAAACAGACCAAAATTCATCTTTTATTACGTATACCTATCTGAATGTACCAAAATCAATAAAAGTCTTATACATGTACATGTATACGTGCACTTGCAAAAGGTCGATTTATATCTGACGCAGCTCATATATATATATATATTTATCCAACGCAATCATAGGTTTGAACGTTGTTTTCAATTTCGACTTGTTTATATATATATTATTGTTAGATAGGTTGCCTAAAAAAATATCAGAATGATGACTTTTACATTAAAATACATCTCAGATGGCCCACTGCACTATTGTCATCAATGACCTCAGAAAGTTTGCACCACATGTGCAAAGGTTTCAAGGCATAATCATCACAGATGCAGTTGTCTTTGTTTATAATTATTTTAGTTCTGTATTAAGCTTTATAATGTTGAAATCTAGGTCATATTTTAATAGTCAGTCATAATTAACTAATAGTTTTTCAGACTTACAGGGACTTACACCTTGTCTTTACCTTCACTTTTCTCACCCTGCTCTAGCCCTGTGACTACTATTTAAATGTAATACTGTAAGATAGATTGACTTCAGAGCGATGACATTAACATTCAATACATCTCAGATGGCCCACTGCACTATTGTCATCAATGACCTCAGAAAGTCTGCACCACATGTGCAAGGTTTTAGGCATAATCATCACAGATGCAATTGTCTTTGTTTATAACCATTTTAGTTCATTATTCAACTTTGTAATGTTGAAATCTAGGTAATTTTTCAATAATCACAGTCAACATTTACTAACGGGTAGTTAAACAATTTTTGTCTGATCTTACATTTTATTAACTTTTTAATTCCTATACATGTACCAACAGAGTTGTATAAGTTTAATTGCACCAATGATCCCGGTGATACCTTCAGGAGACTACAAAATCTGGTTTGTTCTCCATAAAGGATATATTGAATACATAATATAACTTTTTTAGACTCAGTGGGACCTAAGGCTTTACATTGTCTTTCTCTTCACCTGTCTCACCCTCCACAGTTGTTCAGAGAATCTCATCTCAATTCTTTAACTTAAGTAGAACTTATCAGCAACATCACCCCAGACGTAACAAAGTGTGAGAAGAAATTACCAATCTTACTTACGTCAAGCGTAAAACTATCTAATGAAGGTGAAATAGACCAGATTTACAGAACTACCACAAGAAACAGATTAGTAGGTTTTCTGCATAAAGATATCATTGAATATCAGCTGCTCAACACAATCTAAAGCTTTTTTGTTTGTTTCCTGCACTAAGCTCTCCAAAAAAGTTTACATTGTGGCTTGTAGATGATATTTTATGATATTAATATGCAGATAATTTAATAATTTTTTCTTATTCACCTGTCTATTTTTGAAGATTGTTTGTTGACTTCTAGATGAAATTCAGTTATTTTTGTGTCCTTGGGTTGCTGTCTTAAAATTAATTGATATAAACCACATCTTCTTTAAAAAATGTTTTATTCCTTATTATAACTATAATTTACTTTTTTAATCAAACTTTTGTGATTGCAGAGAATCTAACTCTGTTCTACTATCTATATATAATATAATAAGAAAGATCTACTTAAAAAGAAACATCAGAATGACAACTTTTACATTAAAATACACCTCAGATGGCCCACTGCACTATTGTCATCAATGACCTCAGAAAGTCTGCACCACATGTGCAAGTTTTTAGGCATAATCATCACGGATGCAGTTGTCTTTATTTATAACCATTTTAGTTCAGTATATAGCTTTATAATGTTTAAATCAAGGTCATATTTTAATAATCAGTCAACATTTACTTTATAGTTAGTCACTGTTTGTCTGATCTTCCATTTTAATAACAATTTAATTCCAACATTAATAAAGTTGAATAGCAAATGTAGTTAAATTTCAGCATTGATCCCTGACATACAGGAGACCACAAATAAAACTTGATCTTAAACTAGAGGCTCTAAAGAGCCTGTGTCGCTCACCTTGGTCTATGTGCATATTAAACAAAGGACACAGATGGATTCATGACAAAATTGTGTTTTGGTGATGGTGATGTGTTTGTAGATCTTACTTTACTGAACATTTTTGCTCCTTACTATTATCTCTATCTATAATGAACTTGGCCCGGTAGTTACAGTGGAAAATACTTTGTAAAAATTTACAAAAATTTACAAAATTTATGAAAATTGTAAAAAATTGACTATAAAGGGCAATAACTCCTTAAGGGGTCAATTGACAATTTTGGTCATGTTGCCTTATTTGTAGATCTAACTTTGCTGTACATTATTGCTGTTAACAGTTTATCTCTATCTATAACAATATTCAAGATAATAACCAAAAGCAGCAAAATTTTCTTAAAATTACCAATTTAGGGGCAGCAACCCAACAACGGGTTGCCTGATTGGTCTGAAAATTTCAGGGCAGATAGATCTTGACCTAATGAACAATTTTATCCCATCAGATTTGCTCTAAATGCTTTGGTTTCAGAGATATGAGCCAAAAACTGCATTTTACCCTATGTACTATTTTTTAGCCATGTCGGCCATCTTGGTTCGCGGGCAGGGTCATCGGACATATTTTTTAAACTAGATACCCTAATGATGATTGTGGACAAGTTTGGTTAAATTTGTCTTAGTAGTTTCAGAGGAGAAGATTTTTGTAAAAAATTACAAAAAATTACGAAAAATGGTTAAAAATTGACTATAAAGGGCAATAACTCCTTAAGGGGTCAACTGACCATTTTGGTCATGTTGACTTATTTGTAGATCTTACTTTGCTGAACATTATTGCTGTTTACAGTTTATCTCTATCTATAATAATGTTCAAGATAATAACCAAAAACTGCAAAATTTCCTTAAAATTACCAATTCAGGGGCAGCAACCCAACAACGGGTTGTCTGATTGGTCCAAAAATTTCAGGGCAGATAGATCTTGACCTGATAAACAATTTTACCCCATGTCAGATTTGCTCTAAATGCTTTGGTTTCAGAGATATAAACCAAAATCTACATTTTACCCCTATGTTCTA